TTTCTTTTCTTCCAGCTTTATTTTCCTTACAGTGCTTTCTGAAATAAATTGAGCCCTTTTCCTTGCATTCTCCGCTTCAGTTTCTCTTTCTTGAGCTTCTCTTTCTGCTGTTAACCTTTTATCCTCTGCCTCGAGTTTCCTAATTTCCTCTTCATGTTGATGTTGCGTCTTCATTATTTTAATCACTTCTTGTGTAGCCGCTACTTCAGCTGCTGCTTCTTGTCTTCTCTGCAGGGAATCACTGTAAGATCGACTGGACAATTTGGAAACAGACCTTGACTTACTGGAGGTTGCTGAGATAACGCTGGACACCGTGGCTTCAAACACTGAATCTGAATCAGGCCAGGGAATCTCCTTAGGATCACCATTGAGAAAGCTCTGAGACTTCTCATTTGCAATGCTAGTAATGGCAAGACAAGTGTCATTTTTTCTTCTGATTTCAGGTTCCGGGCTTGTGATGCTTCTTATATCATCATAAATATGGTCAACCTCAGACTGAATGGTGTTAATGGTGCTCACAACTTCACAAATCAATTCTGCATCATCATTGTTCTTAATGGCTCTTTTCAATCCATTGATGTGATATTTCCACCTTTTATACTTCTGATCAAAGCTTCTTTCCAGATCCTTTAGTCTAGCGTCTAGCAGTGTTTTACCCTTCTCGGTAAGCGTGCGTACTCGCTGACTTCTTCTAATATCTGGGAGCTGTGTATTATCCGCATCAACCTGAGGTTGATGTGCTTGTGCAGCCACTTCAACTTGATCAGTTATATCCTGCTGTGGTGGGATAACCTGCTCTGCACTGCCTTCGTCTTGTGAAGTATGGTGTGTAGAGCTGACTTCTTTAATAGGCAGCAATGTTTTTTCACTTGTGTATGACATGGCCTGTGTTGCACTATAATGTGAATATTCAAAGAGCTCAAAATAAATCTACGGTTTAGTGTAAAGCGATTATCTCAGCTTGACTTATATGACTGAATCATGTAAAATATAAAAAATGTAGAACTGTCAAGTAGCAAAGTATGAACTTATAACTTGCAACACACTTAAATCATAAGGTATGCAAAACACTTGAATAAAACAAAAAAAATCAAATTTTAGTCTTTCAATAGTTTCAATTCAATTTCAATTCAATAGTAGCACAATTGCCTATCTATTTAATCCCTTCAGTTTCTTAAGTCAAACGATAATAGAAAAATGTCCAACTTTATCTCAGAATGAGGATGACAGAAATACCAGATTGATTAAAACTTCAGCGAACAGTTCACAAGACCTTGTGCTGCTTCCAAGTCACTAACTTTAATAGTGCTTGCTTGTTCAGCCTTCACTTGCCCACTGGCTGCTTTAGTCAGTCAATTGTGATATTTTCATGTTGTACTTCCCTCATTCAACACGTGGCGCCTCTTGATGGCCGTCTTCCTCGTGCAGCTTTACCATCAGTTGCTTTGGCCTTCTTCGACGCAGCAAGTGTTCTACTGTACCGCTCTTAGTCACAACACGAAGGCTGAGGTTCTTTTAACTGATGTTTAATGCTCTCTGGACTCAGACATCAACATCAACACCGTAGAACTAAAAGGATGAATATACAACCAAAACATATCACAGTCAGTTACATGGAAAACACACGAGTTTAAACTCGTACATAAACAGAAAATACATACCACTTTTGCCTGCTTGTGAGCTAAGAGAGGGGGTTACATCTTGAAGCTTCTTGATTGCATGACTTATCATAATGATAAACACTTTAAACCTTGCGATTACATCTTTTAATATAATCAGGAGAATTGTAAACTCCGACCGCAGTTCTGACTCGCTGTTCCATGGCAAAAACAGGAAGTGACATACAAAGACACGATGGGAACAAAATCAAATATATCCATAAAACTCTTAGAAAAAAGAATTATTGCTCAAATGTACAACAGTTGAGTATATTAATCACGACAAGCATTATAAAATAGTTGAAATATAAAAATGTACAGATTAAACTGATTCAAAGTTGCTGAAATAAATGAGTGTTGAAGTACACAAGCGCCATCTAGTGGAAATAAACATTGTGGACATCCAAAGCTTTGTGACAGCAAACACAACGCAGATAAAAAAAAAAAAAAACATTAAAACAAAACAATAAAATTGGCAAGACAGCATTGGTGTGATATGGGTCAGACGGAATATGATTGTCTAAACAACAGAGTTTTGAGTTTGGATTTGAAAACATTAAATGAGTCAAGGGTACGAAGATCTGGAGGGAGGGAATTCCAAAGATGGGGAGCAGAGCGACTAAAAGCCCTGCCCCCCATTGTGACAAGACGAGCAGGGGGAACAGAAAGCTGGCAGGTGTGAGAGGATCGGAGTGAACGAGTAGGGATGTTTAAATGGAGAAGATCTGATATATATGAAGGAACCATGTTGTGAACTGCTTTGAAGGTGATGAGAAGTATTTTAAAAATGATCCTCTGTTTAACAGGAAGCCAGTGAAGCTGTCGCAAGATGGGAGTGATATGATGAGAAATGGGGGTCTGAGTAATCAGGCGTGCAGCAGAGTTCTGTAGGAGCTGCAGCTTCCGGAGCGACTTATTAGGGAGGCCAAACAGAAGTGAGTTGCAGTAATCTAACCGAGATGTGATGAGGCTGTGAACCAGGATGGCGGTGGTTTTGGGAGTAAGAGAGGGACGGAGGAGGGCAATATTACGCAGGTGGAAATAGGCTGACCGGGTGATGCTATTAATGTGAGAGTGGAAAGATAAAGTGCTGTCAAGGACGACACCCAGACTCTTAACCTGGGGAGAGGGAAGGACAGTTGAGTTATCAATGGTAATGGAAACTTTATTAGCTTTGGAGAGGGTATGAGGTGTGCCCACCAGGAGGACTTCGGTTTTTGAGCTGTTCAGTTTGAGAAAGTTAGAGGAAAACCAAGAATGAATTTCTTGGAGACAGAGGGTAAGAGAGGTTGGTGGGAGTAAAGAAGATGGTTTAGTAGAAAGGTAGAGCTGGGTGTCGTCCGCGTAGCAATGAAATTTGATGTTGTGCTTACGGAGGATGTAACCAAGAGGGAGGATGTAAATGATAAAAAGGAGAGGCCCCAATACAGAGCCTTGGGGCACTCCAGCGGAGACGGGGAAGGTAACGGATTTCTGGGTTTTTAGTTGTATGAACTGTTTCCGATCTGAAATGTAGGAAGTAAACCAAGCTATAGGAGTGTGAGTGATACCAATAGATGATAATCGACTTAGGAGGATGGGATGAGAAATGGTATCAAAAGCTGCAGTGAGGTCCAAAAGAATGAGAATTGAAAGTAACCCAGAATCAGAAGCCATAAGAAGGTCATCTGTAATTTTAATGAGTGCGGTTTCAGTGCTGTGAAGGGGACGGAAGCCTGATTGAAACTGTTCATAGATGCTATTCGACATGAGGTGTTTATGAAGTTGAGAGGCGACTGTTTTTTCCAAAATTTTGGATATGAAGGGTAAGTTCGATATGGGACGGAGATTGCTAAAATTAGTGGGGTCCAGACCTGTTTTTTTCAGAATGGGTGTGACCGAGGCAATTTTAAGTGAGGGGGGGACTGAACCGGAGCTTAGGGAAGAGCGAATAATCTCAGTGATTAGAGGGGCAAGTGAAGAGCAGCAGGATTTAACCAAAATGGCCCCCACAGTCACCAGATCAACCCAATAGAGCATCTTTGGGATGTGGTGGAGCGGGAGCTTAGAGTCCTGGATGTGCATCCCACAAATCTCAACTGCAAGATGCTATCCTATCAATATGGGCCAACATTTCTAAAGAATGCTTTCAGCACCTTGTTGAATCAATGCCACGTACAATTAAGGCACAGAAGAGTGTATAATACATACGCAATATGTTTCTTTTAAAAGCTTTGATGCCTCTGAATTGAAACCCAAATCTATTATATCTGTGATGACAGATGCAAATACTGTCACTGGCTATAATTACATTATTGACTGATATCATATTGATATAAAAAAAGGCGAAATGGAAAACATGTTTTTATTTTATTTTGTAGTTTTATTTTATATGTTCCTCATTTATAATTCGCTCTTGACAAAAGAAAAAAATACATTTGAAGAAAAATAGTGAGAAAAGATACATTGTAGACAGGCATTTAGCAAATGTAGACGTCTAATACATTATTCTACACACAGATCTTTAATCTGATATGACTGTGTAAAGCAAAAGCAGTTTTCTTTCAGCTCAGTGGAGAAAACTAGTTCTGTGACAGACAGAAACGCCATCTGAAAGAAAAGACAATAACAAACTATCAAGAGGCATCTGAATATGTTTCTCTGTCACATTAATTAAGCCCTCACTTTACAGAAAATATTTTTATTCACATATTGTTTTCAGAAGGAAGACTGGAAATTGATTATGTAAAGTTATAGACATGTGAAGTATAGATATTGCTAAAGAATAAGCCACAATAATGAGAATTTGTTTCTTACTTGTCCTTCTCAGCGCCGGTGTCTGTGGACAAAACAAAAGGGTTTTTTTTCTAACAGCAAAAACTTGATTGTAATAATTATGGATTGAGTTTTAACTTTTTAAAAACAGTATTAAACATGTTTTACCTGGTTGTGCCTCGGTTACAGTGAGTTGAACAGGATTCAGTGCCTCTCCAGCAGAGCAGAAGTACCATCCAGAATCACTGAGTCTCAGTCCAGTCATCAACACAGTGAAGGAGCTTCTCCCATCATCACTGATCTGGACTGATGAATTCTGGGATGTGTCAGTCCTCCCCACTTTATAACAGCTCTGATCTTTATATCTGAACCACTGTTTGTGTTTATCCTGATATCCAGAAGTGTAGAAACACTGGACACTGACATCATCACCTTCACGTCCAGATACACTGCTGCTCTTCACAGACACATCAGGAGCTGAACACAGAGTCGTTTGAGATTATTAAATACATACAGTAGGCTACTTTGTGTGTGAAGTCAGATAATTTGACATTATAATGTGATTAATATAATTACAAAATATCATACCAGACTGAACCATGAGATGAAGCTCATATGTGACAGTCCGTTTTCCATCATTCTCCACTACACAGGAATAATCCCCATTATGTTTGTTCTGCAGGTTTCTCATAGTCACAGTAAAGAGACTCTGATCAGGATGATCAATTACTGACAGATTCTCCTCTGTTGTGTTTGTGTATATATTAGATCGATCCCTATGTGAGTACCAGTATTTCTTCTGCGGTGGGTTTTTCTCATCATAATGACATGGGATGGTGACAGATCCTCCAGGCTTAATAGTTACGATATGATTTGACCCACCGCTATAGCATTCAACCCCTAAACAAACAACACACGCTGTTATTATTTCCAGGATTAACAATAATTCACTCATTAATTTGTTCTATCTTCACATTAAACACATTAAAAGCATCTTGAACTGCTGGGCATACATTACAGTGTGTCATTACAAAATCATAAACTGGATATATTCGAAACAAACACTGTCATTGTTTTTTCATACTTTGTCATAATTACATTTTTTGTCGTAATTATGACTTTTTATGTTATAATTTTGACTCATGTCACAGTCTCAGCATTTTATGTCATAATCATGACTTCTATCTTTAGAGATTTGTCATAATTATGATATTTTATGTTAGAATTTCAGCTTTTTGTGTCACAAATATGACTTTTTATGTCATAAATTCTACTTTTATGTCATAATTATGATTTACTAAAGCATGATTGTTTTTCATATGTGGCTGAAATGGGCTCCCATTGTATGCAGTGTAAATCTAAACAACGATTGTCTCCAGAGTATTTTTTTATGGATTAATGTCATGTCATATCATAATTGGTATAACACATTAAACATAATTGATCTGATTAACCCAGTTCAGCTGCTCCTTACTGTTTATGATTTCATTAACGCTTGTATGATTTCTGTTTGCAGATGTCTGAGTTGTGTCCCTACAAAACAATGTAAAAAGAGAAAGAAAAATATGTTCATTCAAAAATGAAAGTACAATCGAATCATATCATTCCAAACCTGTATGACTTTCTTTCCTCTGTGGAACAAAAGAAAAGAACAATACTTGTATGCTCTTCTCCTGCACTTCTTTCTTTAAAAAATACATAATCATTCCACATAGTGAACAAATCATTTAGAGCAGTTTTGGGAACAGGATCAACAGGTTTTCGGGGTACAAAAGTATTTAGATGCATTTGATTCCTTTAAATGGTCAGAAATTACACCTACTTGTCTGTCTCAGGGTCAGATGGTGTTGCTGTTTAAATACGTTTCACTGAAAGGAGCAAAACATGAAGATATTTATAGAGAGTTAAGAGTGTCACCATTATAGCTGAACTGATGTGTGATCATCTCACCAGGTTTGGGTTTGACAGTGAGTTGAACAGGAACCTGCAGATCTCCTACTGAGCACAAGAACCATCCAGAATCACTGAGTCTCAGTCCAGTCATCAACACAGTGAAGGAGCTTCTCCCATCATCACTGATCTGGACTGATGAATTCTGGGATGTGTCAGTCCTCCCCACTGTGTAACAGCCCTTATCTTTATATCTACACCACTGTTTGAGTCTATTCTTATATTTAGAGCTGTAGAGACACCGGACACTGACATCATCACCTTCATGTCCAGATACACTGCTGCTCTTCACAGACACATCAGGAGCTGAAATCAGTCAAAAAACATTTGTCCATCAATGTCTTATTGGCTGTAAAATGTAAATAGGCCTATCTAAATTCCCTTGATATTGATTTATTTGATATTTTAAGTGTTTACTATACGGTTGGTAACACTTTATTCCAAACTGCAAAAGTTCCCAACACAACCAAATATAGAAACGCGCTACAAATAGCACAAACCACAACAGAAATGTTTCCGGAAGACCAAAATAAGTGTCGAACCTGGCTGGGACATGCTTATTGCTTGTGAGCAGCAAAGGCAAGAAAGGAAGGTGAGCATCCCTATGCTAGGGTGACCATATTTTGATTACCAAAAACGTCTCAGGTTACGTCTGTAACCATAGTTCCCTGAGAAGGGAACGAGACGATGCGTCACTGTTACGCTTTTGGGAACGCCTCCAGCGTGACTGCGTCTGAAGCATCCATGTCAACTAGTCCAATAGGAAACATGACCGTCATGGGCGGATGACGTCATGACCAGGAAATGATAAAAGAGCACCCGGTGCAAACCGGCATTAGCTTCAGAAATTGCCGAAGCAAGCCGATACAGGGATGCAGGAAGTATGGCAGGGTGACGCATCGTCTCGTTCCCTTCTCAGGGAACTATGGTTACAGACGTAACCTGAGACGTTCCCTATCGAGGGAACTCGCGATGCGTCACTGTTACGCTTTTGGGAACGAGAATACCCAAATCGCCAGACTTTCAAATGCCTGAGTGTCAGCCTGTTGTCACACCACCCTAAGCATTATTAAGCACATGTGAACCTGGGGCAGCCTCCAGGTCCAGGCTATAAAACCTGACAAATGTGAGAGGAGAGGACCAACCCGCCGCATCACAAACATCTTGAAGAGAGACTCCAGATAAGAGAGCTTTAGAAGCCGCCATACTCCTAGTAGAATGGGCCCTGACCGCCAAAGGGCAAGGCAGGCCAGAAGACTCATAAGCCAGAGAAATAGCCTCAACTATCCACTTGCTAACTGTCTGCTTTGAAGCAGGAAGACCCCTCTTGGGAGATCCAAAGCAGACAAATAACTGATCAGATCTCCTAAAAGCAGAAGTCCGATGCACATAATTGTCCAGTGCTCTCACTGGGCATAAAAGGTTCAATCTTTCCTGGTCCGGAGAAGAAAACGGTGGAGGACAAAAAGCCTGTAGCACAATACTGCCCTACAAAGCAAAAAGGCAGTAACTACGCAGAGTGCAGAACTGAGAAAAATGACTTTTGCTAGGGCTTTTTGCAGTTACTGTACAAACGACTACCATTTTTCTCTAAAACGATACGCATTTAACATAAGATGTTGTCACATAACAAAGGATGCCTTGAATGTCATGAAAATTGTAATAATTAATGCTTTACCAAAACTGCAGTTACTGCCTTTTTGCTTTGTAGGGCAGAATAGGCCTCGGAATCATGGTGGGCACCTTAGGCACATAGCCTTGTTTAGGGTATAAGAATGCCTTGACCATCCCTGGTGCAAATTCAAGGCATGCAGGGGAAACCGAAAGGGCCTGAAGGTCACCGACTCTCTTAAGGGATGAAATAGCTAACAGAAACACTGTTTTAAAAGTGAGAAATTTCTCTGAAACCGAATCCAGGGGCTCAAAGATAACCCCAGATAAGCCTTCAAGAACAGTAGCCAGATCCCAAGCCGGCACCCTAGTACGAGTTGCAGGCCTCAGCCTCAGTGTGCCACGGAGGAAACGTGTAATCAAGGGGTCTCGACCGAGGGAAGTACCCCCCACTAGGGCATGGAAAGCCGCAATGGCTGCCACGTAAACCTTGAGCGTGGAAGGACATAGACCTGACGAGAAACGCTCTTGTAGAAACTCGAGAACTGTGTTGACTGAACAATTAATCGGGTCCCACTGGCGTTGGCGACACCAGGAAGTAAACACTTTCCATTTAAGTGCGTAAAGTTTCCTCGTAACCGGAGCTCTGGAGCTTAAAATGGTCTCAGCCACTTCCGCTGACAGACCACTACTCATGAGTTGGGCCCCCTCAGAGGCCACACCCATGTTTCAGTTTCCAAATCTCTGGCTGGCGGTGAAATATCGTGCCCCCTGCCTGAGACAGAAGGTCTCTCCTGATGGGCAACTCCAGGGGAGGCCTGTCGAGAAGATGAATGAGGTCCGCAAACCAAATACGACTTGGCCAGCGTGGTGCTACTAGCAATAGACTTATCCCATCCTGGCGGATTCTCTCCAGAACTCCTGGGAGCAGAGCTACAGGGGGAAAGGCATACAGACGCAGCCTCGGCCATGCCTGAACCATAGCATCCAGCCCCAGGGGGGCTGGTTGAGTGAGGGAGAACCAAAGAGGACAGTGCGTCGTGTGCTGAGACGCAAACAGATCCACTTCCGCCTGGCCATACACCCTCCAGATCTGCTCCACCACCTCGGGGTGGAGCCTCCATTCCCCCGGCCTCAGCCTCTGCCTCGACAGTGTGTCTTCTCCTACATTCTGGGCCCCTGGAATGTATACTGCCCTCAGTGAGAGCAATTTCCCTAGGGACCACAGGAGGATCTGGTGCGCCAGTTTGCACAGTGGACACGAACGCAGACCCCCCTGTCGATTTAAATAAGAGACCACTGATGTGTTGTCTGTCCGGACAAGCACATGATGGCCCCTCAGATCTGGGAGGAAATATCTCAAAGCCTTGAAGACAGCCATCATCTCCAGGCAATTTATGTGCCAGGAGAGATGATGACTCCTCCACAGACCCTGAGCTGAACGGCCTTCCATTACCGCTCCCCAGCCGGTGAGGGAAGCATCTGTCGAGATAGCCACTCGATGGCAAAGAGCTCCCAACACCGGACCCTGGGACAGGAACCAGTGTTTCCTCCATATAATCAAGGCTTGGAGACACCGCCGCGTGATCTTGATCATACGAAGTGGGTTCCCCCTCGGGGATAACCCTCTGGTCCTGAGCCACCACTGCAGAGGTCTCATATACAACAGGCCAAAAGGTATCACGTTGGACGCTGCTGCCAAGAGACCTAACAGTCTCTCGAACTGTTTCACAGTGCGTGACTGGCCTAGCTTTAGCTCCTTTGTGGCGGAAAGGATAGCAGCTACACGAGCGGGCGACAGCGTGGCTCGCATCGTGACTGAATCCCATACCACACCAAGAAAAGTGGTTCTCTGTACTGGAGAAAGCACACTCTTCTTGGCGTTGAGCCTCAACCCCAATTTCTGCATATGTGCGAGAACGACACCTCGGTGCCGAACCGCTAACTGTTCTGACTCTGCTAGAATCAGCCAGTCGTCTATGTAGTTCAGAATGCGTATGCCCTGCAGCCTGAGCGGGGCCAGAGCTGCATCTACGCACTTCGTGAACATGCGGGGTGATAAAGCCAGACCGAATGGAAGTACCCGATATTGGTATTCTTTGCCCCCGAAAGAAAACCTCAGGAACCTCCTGTGCTGAGGGAGGATGGAGATATGGAAGTACGCATCTTTCAAATCTATCGTGACGAACCAGTCCTCGGACCTGATTTGAGTCACAATCTGCTTGAGTGTCAGCATCTTGAACTTGAGTTTCTGAACTGAACGATTCAATAGACGAAGATCTAAAATGGGACGCAACCCTCCATCCTTTTTTGGAACAATGAAATAGCGGCTGTAAAAA